GAGGAGGAAGAGGAGGAGGAGGAGGAGAAAGAAGAGGAGGAGGAGGAGAAGGAAGAAGTTGTTGTTGTTTGAATACCTTGAGTTTTATCCAGAATAATTATTAAAAACATTTAACAACTGGCAATGCCACCAACCAACCAAAATAGACAGAAGCTGGTCAACCATACCAAGAGTATTGGCTGAACATCAGCCCTGATTATATCAATGTAGAAAAACTGTGCAAAACTAGGTCATTCTAAATAAGTCCCTTTATAAATTGTTGGAAACAAATGCAAAATTAAGTTTAAAACATAAATAGAACAGAAGAATTCAACTAGGTTTTTAAATTTTGAAACGTTTTCATTTCTTAATTTTTAGTACATTTTTTGATGGTGGGGGGGGGAGATGTACCAGGGATTGAGCTCAGGGGCACTAAACCACTAAGCCACATCTCCACCCCTTATTTTGTATTTTATTTAGAGACAGGGTCTCACTGAGTTGCTTAGTGCCTCACAGCTACTGAGGCCGACTTCGAACTCACAATCCTCCTGGCTCAGCCTCCCGAGATGCCGGGATTACAGGCTTATGCCATCACGCCTGGCTTTTTGGTACATTTTTAACATAAAATTTTATTTATTTATTTTTGCTTATAGTTTTTTTTTATTTGTTCTTTTTAGTTATACATGAGAGGAGAGTATATTTTGACATATTTATACAAACACGGAGTACATCTTATTCTAATTAGGATCCCAGTCTTGTGGTTGTACATGATCTGAAGATTCACTATGGTGAAATTTTATTATTATTATTATTATTAAAAAAATTTAGCTGCAGGTGGACCCAATACCTTTATTTTACTTATTTATTTTAATGGGATGCTGAGGATCAGACCCAGCCCCTTTCACGTGCTAGGGGAGAATTCTACCACTGAGCCACAACCCCAGCCCCAAATTTTATTATCTTGAGAATTTTTTTACTATTATTTTGTGATCATAAGGTATAGGCTGAGTGTGGTGGTACACTCCTGCAATTCCAGCTACTTGGGAGGCTGAGGCAGGAGGATTGCGAGTTCAAAGCCAGCCTGGGCTATTTAGCAAGCCCCTGTCTCAAAATAAACAGGGCCGGGGTGAAGCTTGGTGACAGAGTGACCCTGGATTCAATCCCCAGTACTGAAAGAAAAAAAAATACCATAAGGTATAAAAGGCTATTCAATGAAACAAGTCATTTCCATCCTGTTCCAGATACAAAATTCTCCTCCCTGGAGAAAATTGATATTACCTCTTTTCATGTGCATCCTTACAGAGGATTACATTTTGCATACAATTTTAAAAATGTATGATTTTTAAAAAAACTTAAGTTAATAAATACACCTACACGGGGGTTTCCAGAACAATGCAGAAAAGATCCAGAACTAGTACTTTCCATTAGTCTTTAGCCAAATGAACCTCAGAGTCTTGGTCTTTTAAATTTTTGAATATAAATCACGTTCCATAGAATTCAGTATTTAAAGTATAAATTGGCTGATTTTTCAGTACATTCACAAGATCATGCAACCATCACCACTATCTAATCTCAGAGCATTTCACTCCCCAGAAAGAAACCCCAGGCCCATTACAGTCACTTTCCATGTCCTTCTTCCCCTATTCCTTGGAAACTGCTAATATCTCTTCCTGTCTCTGTATATTTGCCATTCTGGACATTTCACATAAATGGAATCACACCATATGTTGTCTCTGTTTGGCTTCTTTCACTCAGTAAAATGTTTACACAGTCCATCCGTGTTGCAGCGTGCATCAGTGCTTCATTCCTTTTTTTTTTTTTAACCCTTACTTTTTAGTTTTGCTAAAATACATCTAAGATTTACCCCTTTAACCATTTACAAGAGTACAGTGCAGTGCAGTGGGATTAGATATGCTGTTGTGCAACCATTGCCCTCTCCAGAACTTTTCATCATCCTAAACGCTGTGCCCCTTAAACACCAACTCCCCATCCCCTGATGACCTCTACTCGACTTTTGTTCTTGTGACTGGCTTATTTCACTTAGCACAATGTCTTCAACGTTCATCCAGGTTGTGGTATGTGTCAGAATTTCCTTTTTTTTTAAATATATAGCTGAATAAATATTCCCATCAAGTGCTCACACCACATTTCATCTATTCATTCATCTGTTGATGGACATTTGGACCACTTACACTTTATGACTATACTGAATGTTGCTGCTGTGGACATTTTTATGTGAGATTTTGTATGACCACATGTTTTCAATTCTCCTGGGTAGCAGAGAACATTTAGGAGGGACTGTAGAGGAATTTGACAAGTAACTTCCATTACTCAGATATATAGATCCTTTGATTACCACTCAGGGATGGACCATGACCACTGGGATCCTCAGTCTCCCCATTTGAGTAACAGATGAGAAAGTTCTCATTAGTGATGAAGGATATTTGTACCTTGGTAGGCAAAAGCACCAGGTTGTTAGAGTTCACTTGTGGAGGCTATAAAAGGATGTGGAGTGCTGAGTGAACTGTGCTGGTTACTAAGGACCATCCTTCTCTCAGGTCCAAACCCCAATGTCTATATTCTCCTTTGTGAGCTCTGAAGCCATACTTCTTCTTTGACAGCCAGCTGCCCACTAAGTGCTGCCCGTGGGGAGGCACTAGAGGGCAACTAAGGGAAAAGAGACACACTCCTCTCCGTTTGCTTGCTGTTCCTGGGAGGATCATCCGGACTCTTTGCCCTGATGGTAGCAGTTGACTCCAGGGTCCAGGTGTTTTTTTATCCCCGAACACTGTCATGCTCCCTCACACAAGCAGAAGCAGCTGGCTGTGAAGTCAGCTTAACTCTCTTCCTTAGAACTTTGGGCTGGAGGTCCTCCCTCTGAACCCTTGGGGTATCAGTGTGGCTGGTAGTACCCCAGCTCTATCACCATGGAAACTCAGCACTCCCTTCTCGGGTTTTCCATTTTCTAATATTTGTTAAATCTATCCTTTCATTAAATTCTGTCTGTTAAAATAACATGATTCCTGGCTCCTGACTGAACCCTAGCCGTGAATACAGAAAGCAACCACCGTCATGCTTCTCAGGAAATGAGCATGCACATGGCCGTATGAAGTCCAGGCTGAATTCTTGGGGCTCTGTGATAATGCCATAGACTGAGTATTTGTGTCCTTCAAATTTATATATTGACATCCTAAATTCCAGTGTGACGGGATTAGGAGGCAGGGGCCTTGGGGTGATTAGGTCATAAGGGTGGAGCCCTCATGAGGGGGATTAGTGCTCTTATAAAAGAGACCCCAGAGAGCTCTCTCCCCTTTTCTGCCACAGCAGGACACAGCGAGATGGCTGGCCTTGGAGAAGACTCACCAGACACTGAATCTGCCAGCACCCCGACCTTGGACTTGAAGCCCCAGAACTAAGAAAAATCAACATCTGTTGTTTACAAGGCACTCAGTCTATGGTTTTTATTATAGCAGCCTGAACAGACTACAGACTAAAGCAGATGATAATGCAGAAATAGCCATGTTTTAAATGCTTACCCATTTTCCAAGCAGAGCTTTTCTTTCTTCAAATACCTGCAATAGGTAAGGGAGAATTGGGTGACTTCATATATCATGGTTCAAAATATCCATTACAAGAACAGCATCATTGAAGGATCAGTAAATAAGTATTCACTACGTCAACTCAGTATGAAGAATCCGATGTCATTCCCGGAAGGGTACTTTACTTATTTTTAACATAGGCAATGTATTTCTCCATGTGAAATACATAAAAAAGAATGATTGTTCCTTAAGAGAAGTAAGAAAAAAATGGAATTGTAAAGAGAAGTCAAGTTTAGTTTGACAAACTTGAGATAAACAAACAAAGGGGGAAAAAAAGGAAAAATGGTGCTCCTCCTCCAAAACATATCAACACTAGTGGTATGAGAATTTATAAAATTTATGAATGAGCAGCTTTGATTTTATATTTCAGTGTGTACACATATAAATGGGTGTCGCGGTACTTATTATGTTTGTAGGGTTAGTAATTTCTGGGTACCTCTGTGCTTGCAACTGCGTATTCAGCTGTAGAGGTTTATTTTTACGTACTGTGTGGATAGAAACCATGCCTCCCTCCTTCATGTTGCCATCTCCAACGTGCAGTGCTGTCCGTGGCGTGGTACAAGCAGCCATGTTTGTTGAACTGAATGCATGTGGTTGTGAGGCTGGATGTCCTTATGGATGTAGCAGTACAGTGGGACTGTATTTATATGTTGGTGTCTAGGTGTTTTTCTGAGCATCAGTGCATATGTGGATCTGAGCAAGTGAGGAGGGGAAGACTAATGTGGGTATGTTTGGCAGAGGAGGGGGTTTGAGAAGAGGAAGAGACAGTAATGAACATATGTGAATGTCTCTCTCCCTCCAACACATACACCCTCTGTCAGCTTTCAGAATCGGATGGATGTTTTCCCCTTCTCCTTGGCACTACCTAAATTCCAGCACTGCAAGAATGTCCCTGCTTGGAGAGGCGGCTCAGGCCTATTTCTTCCCTTTTTATGGGGGAGGACGAGGAGCGGGTTTTATGGCTCCATAATGCTTTCCTTTCCTTTTTAGACTCTCAAACTCTGGTTGCCAGGAGCATATGAAACAGGAACCGAAATAACTGCTTCAACAACCGACTGGGGACCAGTGAAATGCTGCTTTTGCTCCTGTCTGGGGTATCTCTACATCACAGGTAGACGCTTCACACACTAGAGAAGAAGAAAAAGATCCCTCCCCACAATCAACTGCCACCAGGACAAATAAGGGCACAGACAAACTCAGAATTTCTAGATGAAAACAGAAGAGAAGCTATGGAACACAGGAGATTTTTAAAAATCTGGATTCCAGCACATGCTGAACTCTTCCAGATTGGTCACCTGTTGCCCAACCCAAGCCACCAGGGTGGCCAGCTTGCCAGCGGATCCCTCCCCAGGCCAGTGCATGCTGCACTGGGCTCCACAGTTCTTGAACATGCTCTCTGTGGGCTCTGATCCCAAGCCCACCAGAACCCCTTTCTCCTGCATGCTCCACAGAGCCAGCTGGTGCAGGTTCCAGAGCAGACCCTAGACTGGCCGACTGAATAGCCACAGAGAGCTTCAGAAGTCATAGCATTTCAGAGCTAAAAGAAATCCTAAAGCTCTTTTTGTTAGATTTCCTTATTTTAGAAAGGACAAGCTGAAGACCAAAGAGGTTATGTTCATAGATGTTTTAAAAATCGCTGGTTGTAAACTCGGTTCAATTCCCCTCTACACTTGGTCCCTCACTAGAACTTGGGTCTTCCCCATCCTGAATTCCAGCCCTCAATTCCCCATGAACTTGTGTCTGACAGTGGGAAGAAGCGTAGGTTCTGAGCCACAACTGAGATTTGAAAAGGAGGTTGGGATGCACCCTCATGGTGTCCACCAATGTTGTGGCTCATAGGAAGCAGAGGACACTCACTGGGAGGGGCAGGATAGTCTACAAAAACGCAGCAGGGGGCTGGGGCTGGGGCTCAGTGGCAGAGCACCTGCCCAGCACATGTGAGGCACTGGGTTAGATCCTAAACACCACATAAAAATAAAGAAACGAAACAAAGGTACTGCGTCCATCTACAACTAACTTAAAAAGACAAGAAAGAGAAAAGAAAAAATAAATAAATGCAGCAGGAAGGGAATGAGGTGGGAGTGGAAGTGTTACTCTGACTGAACACTGAATAAGTAGGGTCACTGAATAAGCACTGAATAAGTAGGGTCATTCAGGCGTCTACACCCAAGTCGAAACTGGTGGGCGTGAAGGGGTAGATGAGAAGCACCAGACTGGAAGTCAGGAGACCTCAGATCAGGTTCTGACATGACCTTTGACAAGGAAGATGATTTGGAGCTAACCATTTCATTGTCAGGTCCTTGGTAGGGGCTGATGGTCTTACGGTCCCCAAATTGGAGCGAATCCTCACTCCAAAGATTCGCAATCAGGTTCTTCATTTTGAAGAGCTGGAAAACAAAATGTCTATGCAAAATGGAAGTATTAAAATGGATCTTCCTTTCCTGCAGAATGCTGCAGTCTGTTTATATCACAGTTTACCCAGAGCCTGCTGTTAAGTCAAAATCCCACGGTTGTTATTTTAGTCTGTTGACACTGCAATTACATATTTCACCATGTGACATCATTACAGCGTAGGAGGGAGATATTTCAGGGTTCCTAAATTATGGCTGATTGATGGCAACAAGGTGCCTTTTCTCACAAAACCGTTTTAACATGTAATGTACTACATGTGTAAATCGTCTCTACAAGAAATGTGGATTATGGGGCT